CCTACTGTATCTTTGACGCTGTGGTGGGTTGCATCTGAGAAAACCGTCTGTGTCTGCTGATTTGCTTTCTGTGATGGATCAAGCACAACAGGGCTTTTGGAACATTTCTGCTCCCAGAAAACTCATTTAGGGTGGTTGTTGCACTTGCCCATAAATTCATTGAAGTAGGGACCGAAACTAGAGCCAGTTGTTACTGTTTTATTAATAACAGCCACTGGAAGTGACCCTGGTATAGGGACCAAAAACCTGGAGTGTCGTTCATAAAAATAAAATAAATAAATAAAGCAAATATTGCATTTCTGACCAAGTCCAAACCAAAGTTGTGATAAATGAAAAAAATTATGATTTTTTTTTTTTTTTTTTTTTTTTTTAAATCTGATGATGAAATGTTAAAATTTTGTTAGTAATTTCATTAACAAGTCAGTTTTTGTTCTTTATTCTTTTAACTATGGGCTTGAATAATGTAGTTCTTATCAAGTATGGCATCAATTAACTTGTAAGTCACAAAGACCGGTGTGGAGGGGCTGGATACAATGATGGTTAAAACAATGATGAAAGTTATTTTCTGCCTCAATCACCACTGTTACAAAGCAAATGTAGTTAAGAATGAATTAGTTGCTGTCACGAGCTGATGTTTTAGCCATCGCTGCCTTCCTCAATGTTATTACCTCTTCAGTTTGTAGGCCTAAGTTCAATTAAATGAAATCGGTGATGTATCCCTCATGCTACCAGGTTTCTAGAAATGAGGAAATGTCACGTTCCTTCAGGCTAGTTCGAGCAGGTTCACACAGTAGGTTGTTAAATTCAATCCATTGGCCCAGGTCATCTCTGTCTCCTCCTTCCTGCCATTGCACAGACTTGTTTTAACAGACTTGTTATTTTCTGGTATGTAAGGCTTCTAAATGTGAAGAGTAGGTTTAGGTTTTATGCCTCAAAAATAAGATTTGTCATGCTGCAGATTTACGATCTAGTGTTAGCAAGAACTTTTTTTTTTTTTACCAAGATTATTTTATTTGACTGTAGACTTCAGATTGGCACGTGTGCACTACTGAATGTATAGTAATAATTCTATAGGTGTGAGACCTGTCTGTCATAGAAGGTCATATGGTGGGCGAATGAGGAGAAAAGACAAAGCAATAATAGATTTTAACAGGTCAAAGATAAGCACAGTTCATATTATATTTGTGTAGGTATATAGAGCCTATATTGAATACCCTTCTCCTGCCTTTTAGTAAGAGATATTATGAATGGGAAATAGTGATTAACAGTTTTAACGTGACACCTGAGCTTTTCCCTGAAATGTTTCTGTTTGATCTGGAGTTCTCATTACTGCCATACAGCAGCCCATAAAGCAGATATTTCAGTACATATCTAAATACATTTACACAGCAGTCATCGCTCTGTACTGCACTGTAGCCTGTGTGTAGGAATTAACTTCATACATATGAGAAATGCAGTTCTTGCTCCTCTTTGCTGTTTAACCTTCCACAAACTAACATGAGCTAACTGTAATTGTAATCTATGACCACTGTGTACTGGGTGTTTGTTTGTATGCAACACCTCTGCGACTGCTTCTGTATTTGGACTTTAAACTGTATGTGCCTGAGGTACTCTACCCAACTTTTATCCTGTTGGTTTGCAGTTGTTTTTCTACTGAACTGAACAGATGAGAATCATGTTCTGTTGTGATGATTCAGTTTGATCTCTGAAGTTACTGACCAAGACAGAAACATTAAAAGAAAATAAATCAAAGCTTTTTTTCTTTTTAAATATCTTTATTTCTTGTGCAGGTGGTTCAACAATTAATAGATACAAATGGTGTCATGTAAACATCAGTTGATTACATATAACATTAGAGAAATGAGAATGAGTAAGTTTAGGGTGATCAGCGGCGTTTTTAACATACAGTTTAACAACAGTAAGTCTGGACAAAGGAAAAATATTGAAAATGAAGATGTGAGTGTTGCTGAGTGCCCAATACTGACATCTGGCTCATGATTTTATAGTCGGAACAACCCTAAACCTTGTTCACCCTCAAACGTTCTGTTCTTTCTTGACTAAACATTATCTAAACACATCTGGGCACAGGAAAGGTGCAAATAATATAAATCTGTGACTTTAGAAAATGTTTAAAAGCTAAATATTTGTTCATTGGGGATACAAGTGGCAGCACTGATTGGAAGCAGACTGGGTATAGAAGAATCTGTCTACATAGCCACTCTGATAAACCAGATCAGTGCTGCTCTGAAACAACACTAACAGCAGTCACAGGCAACAGGACGACAGTCGCTGATAATAGTTACACATCTGTAGATTTACATTATGTCTCTGTTTTAAGTTCTAAGGTCACTTATTGTGGAGACCCGAGGTTTCGCTGGCAACTTAGCGTGGTAATTAGAGGCACCTATTTTTGTGTACAAAACCTTGCATAAGAAAGTATCAGTCATTCAGTGCAGTACAAAACAGTGTAAATTAAAAAAATAAAAATAAAAGAACTGCAAATCACACATCAGCAGAGCCACCAAAACAACTCCCCTAGTTGATACCAAGTCCTCCTGGTTGGTTTGTGTCAAGAAAAGGTGCTCTAAAACAAGAAGATAGATCAGTACACTATTGAAAATGGGAGAAAATATATATTTTGAAGTGATATGGAAGAACTAGATAACATAACAGGCTTCTGAAGTTATTCTTTGTTTTAAGTGGCAGACCTTGCCCTGGAAGGTAATGTCGACATCTGTTTATTTGATGTCTTTTACTCCGCGGCTTTTGTTCCGTTGAAGTCACTTTGGATGTCGGGCTCCTCCTCTGAGGCATCCTCCACCACCCTGCGGCCTCCGCCCATACGCCGAGGTGCGCTGCCAAAGGAGGGCTCGTTTCCACGCCTAAATTGCCACAGAGACACACACACAAGGCAGAGACGCAAACAAACACAAACACAGCATGACGGTGAGAGGAGTGTGTGGCAGTTTCCGAGGTGGTTAAGTTTTTTTTTTTTTTTTAAAACCACTCGGGTGTTGCACACTACAGGGAGGATTGCCGAAGAATGTACAGGTTGTGCTTTGGTTATGGGTTAAGCACGCTGGTTATCTTTGTAACTCATTTAAATCCTGGCTCAGGAAAATGAGTTTGGTTTATGGCAATTAAACCAAGCACTGAGAAAAATATGGCCACCAGGAAATAGGTGTAATGGAAACCAAATGGGGCAACTTGACTTACTACTGAACATTTTTTTTCCAAGTGAATCACTGGTAGACGATGAGCCATATTTCCCTCAGTTAGGCTCAATGAAAGAAATGACAGCATTAAGAGTGTGCATGAATGAAAAGTTACGATAAGTTAATATAGAAATGGTGATGGGGTAACGTTCAGGCGCAGAGGTACCTGCTGTGTTACTCCTTGGGTTCAGGGTTGCCTCTGGAATAGAGATGGACATCATTGTTTTGCTTGTGCTCAGCAAGGCTAAATCCACTGAACTAAATGACAATCTTCAATGCTTTAAATGTTTGTTTACATCCCTCTGAAGAGGACTGTAGATAAGATTTGTGAAGACTAAGTGTCGATTATTTGTTTTGTGTGAAAAGTTGTACTTTTTGTCTGTAGTGTGTATTTCACATATACAGTATGTCCTCAGGATATGGACTATTTAACAGTTTGTTTTTCCTTTTGTGGTATCTTTGCAGTGTTGGAGCTTCACAGGAATAAAGTTGCTATGAAAAAAGACAGACAGGTAAATAGACATGGAAAGATAGATTCCTTGGCCCTTCGTCCTACCTGAGTTTGCTCTTGAGAGAGTTCACCTCGCGGCTCATGGCATCGTTCGTCTCGGTGGCTTCATCCAGCTCCCGCTGCAGCTTCCTGCGGGCGGCTGAGGCACGCTGAGACTCTTCCTCCGACTCCTCTAGCTGCCTCTTCAGCTGCTTCATGCGAGTACTTGACTTGTCCGCCTGATTAGTGAATGGGGATAATATACAGGATTACTATTCTCTGACAGGCCACTCTTCCAAACCACGCCCATGCACTGGACACATGTACTTGTCTGTGGACACAAGAAACGTGGAAAGACATGTTTGTGTGTGAGTGCTTGAAGAGATCGTACCTGGTCTTTGTACTGCTCTGCCTGTTTTCTTTCGTCTTCCACCTGCATCAGCAGGTCCCTGAGCTTCTTGTCCTTCTGGCGTATGCTCTTGGCAGCTACCTGCTTGTCTCTGAGAAAAGAGAAGAGTTCAAGGTGACTGAGGAAGTTAAACAGATGTCATTTAAAAAAATGAAAAGCAAAAGAATAGAGGAGCTTGAAAGCAGGGTTTTTCTTAAGTGAACCTTGAATATACAGTGGTACACAATAAGTATCACTGATGTAAACGATACAGACTTTACTGGAGCAGGTAAATGAATTCCTTGTTTTACTTTTAGATGGATGCAAGTGTGTAATGGCATGAAACCACCTAACAACAACAACAACAACAACAACTTTATTTATCAGACATGATACTTTGTGTGTTTCTTTGTCCCCAACCTGTTCTCCTGCTCCAGCTGCTCCTCCAGCTGTGCCACTTTAGCCTCCAAGGCGGAGATGGAGGACTTGAACTTGGATTTGACCTGGTTCTCCATCTCCTGGAGCTTGGCCTTCAGCTCCTTGTTCTGGCGCTCCATCTGCTGCCGAGCGCTCTCATTCTTCTGGGAGGTGCTGCGCTCTGTCTGCAGCTCGTTGTTCAACTGATCCACCTGTGTCGGGAATATATGCTGTTAACAGGAGAAACAGGAGTGGAGAGAGGGACGAGGTCTATGGACTCTATGAGCCTAGTGAAGACTCATATGGCTGCGACAGTCTGGTCACCTGCTGTGAGCTCTTCCTCAGCCTGTCGTTGAGGATCTCCATGTTGCTCTGCTCTTCCTCCAGCTCCTCCTCCAGCTGGGAGATCTTCGCTTCCAGACGACGCTTCTCATCTGCCAAGGCTGACC